CTCAGTGTGATAACTGTGGAGTAAAATGAAACATAAACTCAATACTCAGAACAGTGCCACGATGTCCTAAGTAATGAAAATCACTCATGCATAGGACATTAAGCATAGCAATGAGGGCAATGTTACTTAGTTAACCCAATAGTAAAGAAATAAATATTAACTTTTAACGTGAAGGATATAATCATATCAGCTGGTTGTAGACGGTCTAAAAAGAACACTGCAGCTAAGAAATTACAAAATTGTTTCTGAGTATTTGGGATAGTGTGGAATAATGTTATCCTATCCAAGCAACATAAAAAATGTTGGGACCAGCAGTTGGCCTAATGGCTACATCGCTGGACTCCCATGTAGTCTGCCATGGTTCAAGTCCCAGATCCGATGGCTTAAACTCATGCCAGGCATAGTCCAACACAATCAATGCTAACAGTGCCTTGCAGGCTCAACTCATGTGAGGAAGTCAGACCTCCTTAGTGTGTCCCTGTACTTGGACTCTTCCAGGCACATACTGACCTACACCTCTGCAGCCCGGAGGGGATATGGACCAGGGACAGAAAGCAGGGCACTGCCCAGAGCTCGGCATTTGTTTCCAAACCTGAGACCTGCAAACGAGATTCTCTAACATCGGACACATTAGCAAACTATAGAATTGTATGGATAAATGGCCAAGATTTACCTTCTAGCCCCACAAATATTTCAGTTAACATCAACTTTGATCGCACAAAGCAGGCACTATGAAGAGAGGAAAGCTGGGACAATAGTTTTCTTACTTTTTTTTCCAACAACTAATATCTAGGGAGCACACACTTTGTGAGAGGTGCAGAACTAAGCCCTGGACACAAAATATCTCTTTAAATCCTCACAAGTCTCTTGGGCAGCTACCATTTTAGCCCAGTGTTACAGGTGAAGAAACCAGTTGGTTTACAGAGGTTAAACTGCTGGTCCAGGGTCGCTGAGCTAATGAGTGGAAGCCAGAGGATTTGAAGTCAGGATTTAAGCAATGCTACAAACTACTCTGACTGAAATTGGATATAGATTCTAGAACACTCAGTGTGATAACTGTGGAGTAAAATGAAACATAAACTCAATACTCAGAACAGTGCCACGATGTCCTAAGTAATGAAAATCACTCATGCATAGGACATTAAGCATAGCAATGAGGGCAATGTTACTTAGTTAACCCAATAGTAAAGAAATAAATATTAACTTTTAACGTGAAGGATATAATCATATCAGCTGGTTGTAGACGGTCTAAAAAGAACACTGCAGCTAAGAAATTACAAAATTGTTTCTGAGTATTTGGGATAGTGTGGAATAATGTTATCCTATCCAAGCAACATAAAAAATGTTGGGACCAGCAGTTGGCCTAATGGCTACATCGCTGGACTCCCATGTAGTCTGCCATGGTTCAAGTCCCAGATCCGATGGCTTAAACTCATGCCAGGCATATGTGCATGCGTGCCCAAGATCCCGAAGAGAGAATGGAGGTGAAGGGATTGTGGTGTTGCCATCCCCCCTGGGGGGTGATTTCTTGCTTTCTCTGTCCTTCTGGCGAGCACATACACCCTGTAGCAAAAGCCTCTCTTAAAAAAAATGTTAAATATACAAAAAAACTGCAAGTATTTATCTTGATAGATAAGTGAAATCTTTGGAAATGTTTTAAAATTTCATTTCAATATCTAAAATTCTCAAGCCTCAAATTAATCGTTACAAATTGTTTCAATAAAGTTTGAAGTTTTGCACCTGACAAAGTCTTTATGCACTTTATAAGTCATTCAAGAGTGACTGAATTCATGACGGATCTCACATCACAGACTATAGTTCGAATCCCAGTGCTAGTGCATTGAAACAAGCCAGGTACATGCGAGTTCATGCCCCAAATCCTGACAGGGTGAAGTGGAGGAGATGGGATTGGGATTGCAACATGAACACTTGAACACTTCCCTGGGGTGCTTTCCCTCTCTTTGTCTCTTTCTCTGTCTGTCAGTCTCTGGTTGCCCTCTGGCAACAACAGCAATAAATAAATAAGTTTATAAACAGATAGACATTGTCCTTTCATTATGTTTTTTTTGTTGTTGTTGCTGTTAATTCCATGATGCCAGTTGCATGACATTTCCTTCTGTGCTATTTTTTTTTTCAAAGAGGAATCCTAGGATCACCAATTCAAACAAGGAAAAGGAAATAACTATCAACCTGAAGGGCAAAAAGAACTAACTGGCCAAAAGTAACTCACAAGAACAGAAATGAAGTTTTTTGTCTTTGCAGTGAGATATGAGGGATAAAAAAAAAAAGCAGCTTCTTCAAATATCTTTATTAACATTTGAGAAAATAGAACATGGCTTTCTAGGCAACGGTATGAAAACACATGAAATAAATGTATACAGTAAGCCATGGTGACTGGGGAAGAGTAAAGACATTTCCTATCATATATAATTAATATAAACAGAAAAGCATCTCTTTCTCAAAAGCATTTAATGCAGGTTACTCTGAGGACTTAACAGTTGACCCAGAATGCACTCAAATATGACCATTCTCAGAAAGAACTTTTAAAAACTAACATGAACAGAAAAATACAACTTTCTCCAGTTATTTCCATAAAGTAAAAAATGTTAGATTAAATCCACACTGGCCAAACTGGTAAATGTCTGTCATGTTTAAAAGGAAAATAAATAAATACATAAATAAGGGAGGGAGGTCTATGGAAAAGAGTGAAGATCTCTAGCCACACCTTTTATATCCTTCCAATGGAGTGAAGTCCTTTCACCAACAGCAAATGTGAGGTTCTCCACTCATTAACGAAATCAATCGCATTACCTGTGGGAGCTTATGGTGGCTGCTTTTGCATGAGGCTTTTATCTCATTTGAGTAACATTAAAATAAAACACACAGGATGTCTGTAATCTAGTGCCCACCATCACCCTGGCCTCCTCCATACCACCTGCTAATAACGGGAAAGTGCTGCGGTTCAACTGGATCAACTTCCTTACGCGATTCTGCCAGACTGTAAACTGCTGAGACAAATGACTAGGCAGTCTGCTCTGTGCATCAGAGAAAGGGCCCCTAAAATCAAAGCAGGGGCTAGAGTATTTTAAAGGTATCCATACTGAGAAAGAAAGAAGAAAATGGGGGTTCTACTATTTTCAAAAATAAAATAAATCTAAAAATTAGTAAAAGAATCCAAATGAAATATGTTTGGTGCTTTCTAAGTCTATTAACCAAGCCCTAGGTTCTGTCCTGGTAGTTGCTATAAGAGAAGAAATCTGCCCAGAATGAAGTTTGGTGCCTGCTGATCCCATGTATGACAAAGCACATTTATTTTTTAATATTGAGAAACGTTACTGCCTTGATTTTGATGATATAAAACTAACCATAACATTTAAAAGCTAAGCATCAGTCAGCAAAACTGTATTCCAGAAGTTCTCAGTTCAAACGACTTTTAAGAGCGTAAGAGCCTGAGTTTACATATCACATACACTTTTTATTTTGCTTAACAATGTAAACTTTTTTTTTCCCCACATTTACAATATACTTGCGACAAAACTTAGCCATTAGATCTGCCTTTTGTTGTCAGCTCCCTTGTCTTTCTGAGAAGCTGATCAATCTGTGATGCCGACACAGGTAATGTAGAATAACTTCAAGGTCTGGGGCAGCTGCCTAATCCGGACACAGTAATCTTACAAGGTAAAGAAATCACAGGCTAACATCTAAACGAAAACAAATTGCATAATATTTCCCAGAGTCTGATGAAATACTTTTCCACTTTTTTTCATTGATTCTTTTAAAATAGAGGCTTGCTTCTAAGGAGCAAAAAAGATGATTTGGTTCGAGTATGAATCCTGAAAGATCCCCAAAGCTACAATATTTATGCAGAAGTCTCTTGTTTTCCAACAGCTATTACTAAAGTTCCTACACCTGTAGGATATTCAAAATCAAAACAAAAACCTGGAAGGAAGTTCCATACACTTCACTTTCTGCTTGGGATTTTCGCCTCTACCTAAGGAGTTCCCTCTAGTGCTCTTTCTCCCTCAAATGTCCAGAAAAACATGCACATACATGCAAACACACATAATGCCTCTACCACTGCACATACAGGTTCATCGACAGGAAGACATACGAGACAAGTTACAATACGGTAATCAAATGACTATGACAAGGAGAGATGGACTTAGAAAAAAAAACAAAACCCTCTTTAATCCCTGATGTCCTTCCTACACAGTTCCTCCTCCTCCAGGAACTTTCAAGAATCAGAAAGACAAAGCGGGTTGCATTAAAGAGAAAGAAAACAGAAGTTGTTTTTTGGGGGGACACTGCAGAATCAGCAACGGGGCCAGCTGCCCAGAAGTGCAGCATTATTACATGCCAGCTCAGGCCCAAGGTACTCAAGTTAAGCATCCTATAATCAAGAAAAGTTACGTAAGGAATAGTGGTCATTGTCATTAAGAATAAGAATAGTAATAATTGTCACCACGGGGTTCCGTACAGCAGCTGCACGTGAAGCGGACTTCTCCTCCTGCCACACAGCCCGCAGCCTCCCCAGCAGCCCCACTCCGCGGTGGAGGAAGGCGAGTCGGCGCCGCGCGCGCCGCGCCCTGGGGCGGGGCTGGCTCCGCGGGGTTCCGCGGGCGCGCGCTGGGTCTCCTCGCCCTTTGGCGCGTGCGCGTCCCGCGGGCGGGACCGGCGTGGGGGCCTCCGGTTGCTAGGGTCTGTCTCCTTACCAACGCTGGGTGCACGTTGCTGGGGTTAAGGGGTGGCCTGGATCCTTCATTAAGAGCAGCATCTTGCAGGAAAGCCAGCGTCCTCCCTTGCTGCCCGGATCCGAGGAAGAGTTGTTGGAAGACTCCGAAGAGCCAGTTAGTTTGAGAAGCAGCCGGTTGTCCTGAAGGGTAGGAGTCAGCGTTTCCAGACGTCTGCTCTGACACGGAGGAAAGGAAGTTGTGGAGTGGGCCGTACACCTGGGAGCAAGCCTTGGGCGCTGTGTGCAAAGTTAGAATTTGACGGTAAACGGCCCAACTCCAGCGTGTACCGTTATAGGCCATCAACGGAATCAACGGAATAGGGCGTGCCAGGCACTTTTTGCAAACCAAGTGTACATTTTTGGGGTGCACCTTCTCACATCATGTCTAAACAGTACTAATTGGGATTCCCTACGATCCTGTGAAATCTTGTTATATTGAAGCCCGTCCTATTTTTAAATGACGTAGTTATGATCCAGCTATACCCTTGAAATTTTAGAAGTCATTATTATAGAAAGAAAACAACTTATTTTTGAATGTTTAGATGTTGTGAGTCTTCAGAGGCGTTATAACAAGGATTATATATATTACAAAAACCTCTTTCTAAATTTATAGTGATAACTTTTTGGAGGTAGAGAAAAAATGTCATTTTTACACTTCTGAAAGTCAGTACAGTTGAATTTTACTAGCTGAAATGGCTTCGACATTGTTAGTACAAAGTTCAATCTTTGTACATGGGAAACATGGGAAATTTTAAGGTGATCCTAATAGTAATCATGTATGTATTTTAAAATTGTATATTATTTATAACCTAAACTTTACCTGGATTCTTTCTAGACATTTTAAAGAAATATTTACTTACCTTTCTTTTCTTTTCAAGGAATTCTGCTTAGATTCAGTAGAGGATAGAATAATTTTCATTAAGCTGAAATCTAGATCCCAATTCATTATTTTTCAACAACAATTCAAGTGTATTGAAAAACTCTTTAATTATCATTTAATCAATAGCTATGAAAATCAGTGCTTATCATTCATTAAAATGCCAAAGCAAGCACAACTTTTTCGAAGACCCTTACCTCCAAAATTTAAGCTGTCTTTACATAAGAAGAAAATCCTTTCAGGTATGTGTATTAATCAGATATATGTGTTAACATTTAAGTATTTTTTCATAGAAATTCCTTGTCTTGCACAGCTCGGAATCACAATACAGACACTTCCTACTAAGCATAACTTACAAGTGTTTGTTGTAAGATGATAACGGCCATTTCAGTTCTACAAGTACAGTTGTTGGTCCTTATGAGTGGATTCAGCAGGTAGGAATTTACCTGGTTGAGAAAATGTATTTGTAACCCCCAAATCAGTACAGTGTGCACTTTTTCAGTCATTCGTGGGTATGTGCAGAGCAGTAAAAGAGTTGAGTCATCGAGCACACATGTTTCTAGCGGAGATCTTCTGCCTTCTTGTTTCATCCTCATGCTGTAAACAAATGCTCCTTTCCCAGTCCAGTTAGTGCCATGTCGGTCAAAGTAGTGTACTTTTAGTTGATAAAATGGGCTCTAGGCATAGGTGAAGAGCTGTCTAGCGCAAGATGCACCGTACGGCTATGATATGCTTCACAGAGAAGAATACAAGTGTTAGACTTAGCTTCCTTCAGGCACGAGGACAGTGCTGCTGGTTGTGAGTTCAGAGTTATCAAACCACGAAAATATACATGGGAACTTCGAACAGTTCACAGAAACTATGTATTATGAAAAAATTCTGCAAAGATTTCAAAATTTGTGTCAAAATAAACTCATGCTTCAATTTCATTTTCCCAGGACTTTTTTTGAAGTCCCCTTATGTTTAATACAGTTTCTTTAAATAGAAACACATATAAATCAAGATTATGTATTAATTGGTTGACAAAAATGTTCAGACCAGAGATTCAATAATTCTGTAGTGCCCATTGGAGTCTTCATTCAGTATTAGATAGTTCAGTGTTTGTTGAGATATTACAGAGCAGAACTACTGAAAATAATGAGGAACAACTGTACTTATTGAGCACAATGCGAGGAATTGGAGATACAATAGTCAGCAAAAACAAGGCCTGTCAGTCCCCTTCTTTAGTTCCCTTATGGTAGGATAGAGATAGTAATCAGTGTGTATGTAGAATTTTCTTGTTACAGTGCTATGAAATGAAGATGAGCCACATTTGTAACTATGCTTTCATAATACCCTTATTCTTTTATTTCTGTGTATAGTATCCATCAACGCTTTCCAATAATAAAATCAGTATATTTCCTTTTCTGCCCCTTCTTCATCTCCTCTACCATCTGATTTTAATTGACTGTATTAATTGATTTAGGATCAACATTAATACTAGACTGTACCTTGACCTTTTATTTTTGGAGAGGTTTTTTTTTTTTTTTTTCTTTTGGAGAGATTTTTGCTATAGGGCACATGTGCTCACCAGACAGAGAGAGAGACAGAAAGCCAGAAATCACCCCCCCAGGGAGGATGGCCATGCAGCAATCCCTTCTCTTTCATTCTCCTCTTGGGATCTTGGGCACGCTTGCACACACGCCCAGCGTGAGTTTTAAGCCACCGGGTCCGGGACGTGAACCACGGTCAACTACATGGAAGTCCAGCGACATAGCCATTATGCTAACTGCTGGTCCCAAGAGAGGTTTTTGCTATAGGGCACATGCGCTCCCCAGAAAGACAAAGACAGAAAGCGAGAAATCATCCCCCCCACCCTCCCGGGGAGATGGGCATGCCTCAATCCCTTCTCCATTCTCCTCGTGGGATCTTGGGCACGCACCTGGCGTGAGTTTAAGCCACTGGGTCCAGGACTCAAACCGTGGTCGACTACATGGGATTCCAGCGACATAGCCATTACGCCAACTGCTGGTCTCCTGTTCTTTGCTCTATAATGTCATTATCTTTCAATCAATGACTAGTAAATGTGTGCAAATCAACATAACTGCACTGTCTTCAGTTTCCTCTCCCACTTTCCCTCCCCACTTTTTGTTATATCATTTCTACTTTTCTATAATGTTCTACATTTATAGTCTATTTTGAAATAATGCGGTTATATAGGTTCACTGCATACAGTAGTTTTTTGTTATAGTTTTTCCATTCACCTTTTGGTTGATGTTTATCCCCTAAGATAGAGCTCTCTCAACCTTGGCACTACTGACATTTTGGGGCTGGATAAGATTTTTTCTTTGTTTTGGAGAGATTTTTGCTATAGGGTGCATGTGCTTGCCAGAGAGACAGAGAGATAGAAAGTGAGAAGTCATCCTGAGGGAGTGATGGCCAAGCTGCAGTCCCTTCTCCTGCGTTGTCCTCTTGGGATTCTGGGCATGCACGCGCCTGTGCCTGGCATGAATTCTAAGTTGCTGGGTCTGGGACTTGAATTTTGGTTGACTATGGTAGACTCTAGTGACATAGAATTGTTACGCCATCTGCTGGTGCCAAGACTGGATAACTTTTGTTGAGGAGTACTGTCTTGCCTCTGGCATCTGGGAGATTCTACAACCTTATTATTAGTCCTATATATCCAAAGGGTCTTGGCAAAATGCTTTCTACATAGTAGGTATTCAAAATATCTGTTATATGAACAATAAAACACTTAAAATGACTTTAGCACAGTTAGTAAAAATAGATATTTAGGGGTCAGCAGGTGACATAGTGGTTAAGGTGCTGGATTTCCACATGGTCTACCACAGTTCAAGTCTCGGACCTGGTGACTTGAAAATTACGCCAGGCATATGTGCAAATGTGCTCAAAATTCTTAGAGGACAATGGAGGAGAAGGAAATACAGTGTAGCCATACCCCCCCGGGGGGGGGTTGATTTCTTTCTTTTTTTTTTTAAAGAGGTATTTTTGCTACAGTGCATATGTGCTCACTGGGGATACAGAGAGACAGAAAGTGAGAAATAACTCCTACAGGGGGTATGGACACGCTACAGTCCCTTCTCCATTCTCCTCTTGGGATTTTGGGCACCCATGCACATGTCCACAGCATGAGTTTTAAGCCGCCAGGTCTGGGACCCAAATGATGGTCAACTATGTGGGAGTCCAGTGATATAACCATTATGTCATCTGCTGGTCCCAGCCTGGGGGTCGATTTCTAAATTTCCTTCTTTCTGTCTCTCTCTGACTCTCTCTAGTGAGTACAGGAGCCCTATGGTAAAAGCCTTCAAATAAATAAAGTCTTGTGATGTTTTTTAAAAATGAATATTTTAAATGCTGAAATAAAACTCTGAAATAAATACATTTAATTTGCATATGTAACATGCCATAAGGGAATCTAATGATATGAACAACCTGGTCCTTACCTTTCAGGACCTCTCAAGACCTTTTGATTAAGTTCTAAAGATGAGCTAGATGTAAAATTAGATTCTTAAGTAACAGAGCAAAGCAGCATAGAATTTATGTCCAATTAACAGTTCACACAATAGTAGTTATGTGGGAAAATACTAGAGACAGAGTGAGGCTTGAACTGACTTCAGGAATTAGTAAACCTGGAATGAAATATGTTTAATTATTTTTTTAGAGAGTTTTTTTTTGTTGTTGTTTGTTTGTTTTTTTGGCTATAGGGCGTGTGTACTCGCCAGAGAGACAGAGAGATAGAGAGATAGAAAGTGAAAAAGCACCCCCCAATGGGGATGACCATGCCACAATCCCTTCTCCTCCATTCTCTTCTCAGGATTTGGGGCACACATGTACACATGCCTGCTATGAGTTCTATGTCACTGTGTCCAGGACTTGAACTGCTGTCTACTACATGGGAACCTGGAGATGTAACCATTATGCCATATGCTGGCCCTGAAATATGTTTAATTATAGAGACCCTGTGAAGTTTTTGATGGTAGAGTAGTGAAAAAAAAATAGACATTTAATGTACTAAAGAAAAGAGAAAAAAATCATGAAGAAATGTGTCAATCTCTATTATCTCTTATACAGAGAAAATGTGACAAGGGTTAAGAGCTGAAGGGTGTGTATGTGTGTGTGTGTATACATGTATGCCATCTCTTTGCAAGCTGTGCCTTGAAGGACATATTATTTCCTTATTAGAATGTAGAGGCCCACATCATTTTTTGTACTCAGCTAAGCTAATAGAAAAATGTCTTATGATACTCTGTTGTGCAGAAAAGATGAAGCATATTTTATGTAGTGAAGTGCCCAAGAATTCAGGCTAAGTGCATTTTCTGGACCTAAAGGAGACAAGAATGCTTATTGTTGTAACCTAAACAAACTTATGACACCTTGCAGTCATTTTTCAGAAGGTTATCATGTTCAAAAGACACAATGGTCTGGGAACCAGCAGTTAGCGTAATGGCTATGTTGCTGGACTCCCAAGTAGTCGACCGCAGTTCGTGTCCCGGACCTGGTGGCTTAAAACTCACGCCGGGCGCGTGTGCGTGCGTGCCCAAGATCCCGAGAGGAGAATGGAGGAGAAGGGATTGCGGCGTGACCATCCCCCCTGGGGGGTGATTTCTCGCTTTCTGTCTCTATGTCTCTCTCTGTCTGTCTGGTGAGCGCACGCGCCCTACAGTGAAAATCTCTCCAAAAAAAAAAAAGACACAATGGTCTGACATCCGGCATTAAAAAGGTAAATATTTTCTTAAATTTTAAATGAGAGCTAACGATACACGATAAGTAGTAAGACTTCATCAAAATTACTTTATCCATCCTTATTGCCAGAGTTTTAGCAGCAATTACTCAAAAAATCTCTCTGTATTTCCCACTTTTCTCCACAACAATTCTGTTCTTCCAGGAGTATCTTTCTATATTTTCTAGAACTATTATAACTTAGCCTTTTTAATTCTCCAGTTCGCTCAAGTTTTATTCTAGTCAGTTCAGCAGAAGTCTTTGTAACTGAATAAGAAACACGTTTTAGACAGTGAGAGAGGTGAGTGGGTGAAGTAAGGTTCTGAATATTAAGGCATTAATAGTTTCTGTCCGGCCAACAGGTGGCAGAGTGATTAAGGTACTGAACTCCCACGTGACCGTGGTGGTTTTAATTCCAGACTCAGAGGCTGGAAGCTCAAGCCAGGCACCTGTGCACGTGTACCTAAAATCCAAAGAGGAGAATGGAAGAGAAGGAATTGCAGTATGGCCATCCCCCTGGAAGTGTTTTCTCACTTTTTCTCTCTGTGTCTCTCTGTTGAGTGCACGTACCCTGTACCAAAAATCTCTCCAAAAAATAATAATTTTGTCTCTGACATCTTTAAATCTAATCTAATCTAATTGCGCCTTTTTTCTTTCTTTCTGTTTTAGCCAAGACTGATGAAACAGAGTCATCGCATGTAGAGTTCACCCTAGATAAAACAGATAAAATTAGTTTTCCTGTTGTTCCAAGAAATCTATCACAAACATCTGTTGATTTCCGAAATTTTCTTTTTGATCGTCATCTACAAGAAAGCGTGACTTCTTTTTTAAAATCCAGAAAATCTAAAAAAGTCTATTGGTACATACCAGATACTGCTGCTGGTTCCATATTTTTTCCAACTTGTACTTCAGCTTCTTCACGAATTTTTGGGAAAGGAGCAAACCAACTGGAAAAAAAATCTAAAAAAGAGCCAAACCAAACTAAAAATACATTTACTGATAAAAAGCTAGAAGACGTCTTAATTCTTTCTTCAGAGTTCCGCAAACCCTTACCTACCACTAAGAAAGAAAAAAAAGTTCACCAACCTTTATCAACGAGTGCACGCTATGCTCAGAACCCTTTGAGTGATTTACGTGCAATAGTGCCAAGTTCTGTACGTGGTAGTGTATCTGATAAACCAGAAAAACCAGGGCCTGAACATTTGCTACACACTACTACTGTGGTACTAAATATTAGTGAATTTCCAGGTCACATAGCTATACCAACAGTAGCAGCTGTACCAAGAAAACCTCGAAGACAGTCTGCAATAGGTAAATACAATCCAAACATGGTCTATAGTAACGAGGGCAAATAGAGCAAAGGGGAGAGAAGCAAGCAAATGGTGCCTCACCTCCCAGGGTGAGAAGATGAAATCATCTTTTGCCTGTGCATTTAATAACTGGGCCAGAGAGCAGTAACAGAAATCCTGACTGCAGATTTTCCAAAGCCAACTGGGTACTTCATCCAGGTGGTAGTGATGAGACCAGCAAGGTGATTCAAAGGATTAGAAAAGATAATATAAAGGAGCAGTGAGGGACTGGCCATGTGTCACAGTGATTAAATGCTGTGTATAGGGAACCAGATCCCACATGGCTGATTCCAGTTCAAATCCTGGCGCTGGCAGTTTGAAAAAAAAACCACACTGGGTGCGTATGCATGCATACGTGCCTCAAATCATGACAGAATGGCGAAATGGAAGTAAAAGGATTATGGCATGACCAAGCTCCATTAGGCAGTGCTTTCTTTCTCTGATGGGTGCATACTCCCTTTAATGATACAAAGAAAAGAAAATGTTAAAAAAAAAAGCAATATTGAAAATGAACAATTGTCCAGAAAGTGATCTAAGAGAACTCAATAGAATCCAATCCAATACTGATTGGATACGTTCATGAATATATTTCTATATATAATCCTAATTTATTAAATGATGAGCAATCATAATGAAATAATAACACCCTAAATGAATTTTTATAAGTATCCAAAAGTTCTACTTTTTTTTTTTAATAGAATATCTCGTAGCAAATCTCGTAGAAAGTGAAAATGGAGAATTTTTTCCAAAACAAGTCTTTCCAAGAATACCTGAAGGTAAATGCTAGGTTTATATAATTCTTTTAGAGACTGTATGTAAGATTACATTTTTATAAAAGTATTTGTGATCTTGTGTGTTTGTGTATGTGTATATAATTCACACATATATTTCACCCCATTTTCAGTTCCTCAGCAGTAATTTTTGAAGTATTGACCGTGAACCAAGTTTTGTACTGATGTTGGGACTATGAAAGCTGATGTATTCTTAATTTGGGTGGGGTGAACAGATCTGCAACATCTACTTGCCATATGCTAGGTAGTATGCTAAAGTTTTAAATCTTATTTCCCTAGCAAAAATAAATAAAAAATATTTTTAAAGATTATAACATTTTAACTTCACATAATTTTACAAACAATCTCACAAATATAGTATGTGATGAGCACTTCACAATTACCAGGCACAGAAAAAGAAGGAAGTAATGAATGAAAACTAGCAGAAACAGTAAAGAGTAGTAACATACCCAAAAGAGCACTAGGTATTTGAATTACCAGACATAGATTTCAGAATAACCTGATGATTTTTTATTCTGTTATTGAGTAGGTGGTATTGAACTAGTTTAACAAACTCAGCTATTAATGCTGTTCAGAATGACTAAAGTAGCTATCAAAGAAAATGGAGAGTAGCCAAAGCTGGCATGATTTGAATGGCTATAATATTTGGGAAAAGAAAAGTGAAGCTCACACATAAGCTCTACCTTTTCCTTGACTTTTTCCAGGGAGCATGTGTGATGTGAGACAACAGGGCAGAAGCAGAAAGTGGCAGTTTTAGTGGTTAGAGGAGATATCAGTAGGATTTCAGAGCTATCAGCATAGTAGGAATTTGAGGGGCAACATCTTGGAAGGAACAGAATTGAGAGATAATGAATCTGAAAATCTGCATATAAACTCCTTAAGTGTATTGGTTGATTTCTAAGCTGTACATGTGTAGGACAAGACTTTGAGAAACACTGCAGAAAACATCAGTTGAGAAGCTAAGGAACTGAGCATACATTTTGCAGTCTGTAAGATACAGAGAATGGAGTTTAAGCTCTGTTAATGTAGAGGTCTTCGTAAATTTCAGTTGAAGGCACAGGATCCATGTCTTAGGCATAAGGATGATTTTCTAGGGAAAAGGACAAAACTAAAACAGACTAGTCCTAAGAAATCTTAAAATTAATCCTTAATAAATCAAATGATAGTTTCTGCCTAATCAAAGAAAACCTAACACTTGTTAGAGAGAGATAGGATTATTTAGTTTATTAAATTACTCATATATGAAATTCAGAATTAAATTTTAAAATAAGAAAACACCCTAAAAAGGGATAAAAGGTCTAAAAATTCTTAGAAAGAAACAGACACTGGAGACAATATCATCGTTGATTCAGATACTAGAGTTTCAAACAGGGACTTAAAAATAACTATAGTTACCATATTTAAGAAAATAAAGAAAAAAATGAAGGATTTCACCAGAGAACTGATTTGTTTTTAAAAATGAATCAAGGCAGAGCCAGCAGGTGGCATAGTGGTTAAGGCACTGAGCTCTCACATGGCCAATCACAGTTCAAGTCTTGGACCCGGCAGCTTGAAACTAGTGCCAGGCGCATGTGTATGTCTGCACAAAATCCAAAAGGAGGATGGAGAAGAAGGGATTGCAGCATGGTCATCCCCCCTGGGGGGGAGGGGTGATTTCTCACTTTTTCTCTGTCTCTCTGTCTCTGTCTCCTGTGAGTACACGTGCCCTATAGCAAAAATATCTCTAAAAAATCAAGGCTGGTCCCATTATGTGATTATTAAGTACTATGCATTGGGCACCTAATCCCACATGACGAGCTATGGTTTAAGTTCCCTCCCACCTTGAAAAACACCTTGGGTATGTTTGCATACATGCCCCAAATCCTGATGGAATGGAGACATAGAAGAAAAAGAAGTGCAGCGTGATCACACCTGTCTCTGTCTCTGTCTCTCTCACTGGTAAGCATGTGTGCCCTCTGGTAAAAAAATAAAAATAAAAAAGTCAAAATTCTAGAAGAGTAGAGTCAATATAGCAGTTAATAATTAAATAGTTATATTTAATATGAGACTATACACAGGAAAACCATCTGGCCATAGGGTTTTTTGAGCCTTATTCATCCCAGTAATTCTGTATAACTGTCTGTTATATAAATTAACTTCTGAGTCTCCTCTGTTTTACAAGCCTAAAGAGTCATGCTACTATTTCTGTTTTACTTATTTTTTACAGTCTGGGTTCTCTTCCTGGAAAGTTAAGTAACCTTATGTAAGTTTATATCCTTCAGAGATCTATCAGAGATTCTGCAACCACCTCCTCACCTCTTTTCTGCTCAAAACCAGTTGCTTAGGCATAGTCTTCAAGGGTGGGTGAGCAGCCACCATTATAAGGCAATAGACTTATGTGCTAATTCATCTCCTTTCTTTCTTTCTTCATTCCCTTTCCCAAGACAAGCAATTTTTCTTTATTCTATAGTTAACTTTCACATCTATTGATCTGAAATGGGCACAGAGAAACTACTTTAGACATAAAAAGGAGAATATTGTTTTCTTTGTTTGGGAGATATAATTTTCTATCACTGAAGTGATGGCTTAAGAATTACTGAGATTGGGCTAACCCTGTGGCACAGTGGTTAAGTGCTGCACAGAGTAAGCCAGATTCCACATAGCCAACTGGGGTGCAAATCCCAGCCGCACCATCTTTATGTGTATGCATATACTCAGGATCATAACAGGATGGAGAATTGGAGGAAAAAAGGATGGTGGCATTGCCAGGTCCCATTGGTAGGAGCTTTATTTCTGTCTCTCTATGTCATGCATTCACACGCTCTTTTGCATTAAAAAAAGAATCACTGAAACTGTAAAATATGTTTCTACAAGTAGTGCAGAAATAACAGCTGGATATGTAAAATATATTTTTCTGTTGCACTTCAGTATAAACCAAAGTAGGCCTTTTTTTTTTTTTAAGAGAAGTTTTTGCTATAGGGTGCGTGCGCTCGCCAGAAAGACAGAGAGAGACAGAGAGACTGAAAGCAAGAAATTACCCCCCAGGGAGGATGGCCACACCGCAATCCCTTCTCCATTCTCCTCTCGGGATCTTGGGCACGCACGCACGTGCGCCCGGCATGAGTTTAAGTCACTGGGTCTGGGACTCAAATTGTGTTCGACTACCTGGGAGTCCAGTGACATAGCCATTACGCTAACTGCTGGTCCCAATAGGTCATTTTTGATAAAAGATAAAACCCACACAAGTTATAGACAAGTAAATTTTAAATTTAAATTGTCTCTGCTTAGCAAACTTCTGACTTGTTTTGTTTTGTTTTCCTGTGTGGGATCTACAAACTGAGGGAAGGGTTAAATGACATAGAACATTTGAATCATGCATCAAGATAATGTTACAAGAAAAGTGACTGCTCTTTGGGATCTGATATATATATGATACATATATATATATATATAATGCCATATATATATATGTATTATATATATATATATATATGACGTCCTTTATAAATCTTGTGAACCAAGAATTTGTTTTAACAATTCATAATCTTTAAACATATTTGTACATATAGTACTAAGTGACTGAGTGATGAATCTACGTTATTCAGGTAGAAATCTTCACACACATGGTTTTTTTTTTGTTATTGTTGAAAGAAAATTGTGCTATCTAGTATTTAAAAACAAAACAGCACAACACACAGTTTGGCAAACAGATCCAAATGAGATTGGGTGGATGAAGATTATGGAAATCCCTTTCAGAGAATGCATACCACTAACTCCTTATGATTAACTCAATCTTATAACATAAATGCCTTTTTACTTTCACTAAGTAATAACATTAGTTTTGTTATGTACTCATGACTTTTTTGTTTGGTTATTTAGGTTATGCTAAAACGAGAAGTAAAGAATCAGATGAAAATGTTTTACGTGGTGAGGGTTTTAAAACAATTGCGGCAACACGATATGAAACATTAGCTGCCATGACCAACTTGGCCATAGTAAACTGTCAACTATATGGAAGAAATGCACTTTCTCTTAAGGTATCCTAGATCTTTTCTGCTGCATTAGCAATTGTTTTTGCTTTAGATATCTTAATGTAGGTTAGTTTCTATGATATTGAAGGGGTCTTTCCTGTTGCAATAGAGACTTCCCAAGAACACATTCAAATTTTGTCATTAAAGCTATATGCTTGGGAACCAGCAGTTAGCATAATGGCTATGCCGCTGGACTCCCACGTAGTCGACGGCGGTTCGTGTCCCGGACCCGGTGGCTTAAAACTCATGCTGGGCGTGTATGCATGCATGCCCAAGATCCTGAGAGGAGAATGGAGGAGAAGGGATTGCGGCATGACCATCCCCTCTGGGGGGGGATTTCTCGCTTTTTTATCTCTATGTCTCTCTCTGTCTGTCTGGCGAGCGCACGCGCCCTACAGCGAAAACCTCTCTCTCAAAAAAAAAGCTATATGCTCTAGTTTGCCTTCAGTCTACGAGGTAGATTTTAAAAGTTGCTTATATCATGGGGCCAACAGGTGGTGTAGTGGTTAAGGTGCTGGACTCTGACATGGCCAATCATGATTTGAGTCTCGCACCTATTGGCTTCAAATGAACATGTGTGTGTGTGTTCAAAATTCAGAAAGGAGAATGGAAGAGAAGGAATTGCAGCACAGGCATCTCCCTGGGAAATATTTCTTGCTTTTTGTCTCTCTGTTTCTCTAGTGAGCACTTGTGTTCTGTAGCAAAAATCTCTTAAAAACAAAACAGTTCTCATATCCATTACGCTAACTGCTGGATGGTAATTTTTTTCATTACTAAGTATGATAAGAGATGCAGGATTCAGATTTATCTCATATATACATATATAATGAATAATAAATATATGTGTGTGTGTGTGTGTGGGTGTGTGTGTGTGTGCGTATATATATAATATTTTAAGTCATCAACAATATTTGGACTTTGTGCCGAATCTAGTATTAGGCTGGATTTTCACTGAATACAAGCTCAGTATTATTAATAATTAAAAAAAGCAATTCTACACAAGAAGAGTGGAGTGGGCAGCATCTCACTCCCTGACCCAAAAATATACTACAAAGCTGTGGTAATCAAAACAGCATGGTACTGACACAGAAACAGACATGTGGACCAATGGAACCTAATAGAGTCCCCAGAAATAAATTCCCAAACATAGTCAACTGATCTTTGACTAGGGAAACCAGTCAATCCAGTGGGAAAAGGAAGACCTATTCATCAAATGGTGCTGGAAAAACTGGATTTCCACCTGTAGAAAGATGAATCTGAACCCCTACCTCTCACCTTTGACAAAAATCAAGTCAAAGTGGATCAAGGATCTAAATCTAAGACCTTAAACTATAAAACTGCTCCTGGAAAACACTGGGGAAACTTTGGAAGGCATTGGGTTAGGGAAAGGTTTCTTAAATAAGACCCCCAAAGCACAGTCAATGATCCCCAAAATAGACAAATGGGACTACATCAGACTAAGAAGTTTCTGCATGACAAAAGACACAGTAATTAGTGTGAATTGACAGCCCTCAGAATGGGAATATATATATACTTTTTTTTTTTTTTTGGAGAGATTTTCACTGTAGGGCACGTGCGCTCGCCAGACAGACAGAGAGAGACATAGAGACAGAAAGCGAGAAATCACCCCCCAGGGG